ATTACAATTGTCAGTGTTAATGCGCCAAATTAAGAATTTTTAGTTACTAATATATATATACAGAGTGATCAAAATCTGATAAAACACTTATTTTCTCAGAAACTATTAAGAATATAATTTTTTTTAAAGAGAAAAAATATCAAGTTCAAAAATCTCTACATTAATATGTAGTCAAATCATTATTGTTTTCGCCCTTCAGAGATAAAAACCCTTTTTTATAATTTTCATAGATGGGGACCCTTATTTTTAATTTTATGATATGATAGAAAAAAAAATTACAAACAACTTAGTTAATACAATTTTTTTTTTCGATTGCCGTTCGTCCGTTACAGCTTGTTAAAATTAAGTGATTTTAGTGCAATTTTTATTGTGATTTTACTGTATTAAACACAGAAGTCATTATTTTTATTTGTAAGTCTGACACACCCATAGACTTTACTATTAATAATACACGAATACCTGATTTGAAACTATTATTGTTATCACTCATTTAGTGCGTCGTACACCCAAAAAAAAACCTCAATCAATTTTGATAGAGAAATTTTATCAAGGGTTTATGATAATGTTTTATTAATACGAACAAAATAACTATTCTTATAAATAATTATTGTTCAAGACAAGAAAAAAAATTATCATATTGATAAATATATCATAGATTCAATAGTAATGATATATTTATCAAATTGAACAATGAATTTATTATATAGATCGAGGTTTTTCTCTGGGTGTAGATTATTATAGCTAATTTACCCGTCATAACTTGATGAATAAAATTTGGTTTATGCAACAACAAACAAAAAAAAAATTGGAGTGTAAAAATAGTAAATGGAGAAATCGCCCTGATTTCTCCTAAGGTATACTCATTAATAATTACTGAGTTTATTTTATTTCATTAATTGAGCTATTTCACTAGTTATGAACAAATTATTTTATATACAGCCATTTCTTATACAAAAATAATGAAAGCGACCATTTTTCCACGTACCATTTTTATTCAAAAAACCCTTTACTACTCCCTAAATTGAGTTTGACTAAAATTCCTTATTTTTTTAGCTAGTACAATAAAAAGTTAAAACATACCCTCTATGAATTAAAATATTTGTCATACAATAATTACTCGTTCTAAAAATGTTGTAAAATAAAATAAAATAAATAAATATTATTATTATTATTAAAATTTAACAATAAAAATATGATTTTAAAATAGTTTGAAACGCATAAATTATTTTTTAAAAAAAACTACAATGAAATGTTAATTGTATCAAAAGTTATATGAGTTCTACTCTGTATATATAACTATTAAAAATAATTTTATAAACAAATAGTGTTATATTTTAGATTATTTTCATCGCTTTTTGTTATTAAGTTGGCTTTGTTTTTTCAATTTAATTCGAGTAAAAAAATAAAATAATAATAGTGCCATACATTAGATGATATTTCATAACAGCTACACGTCGTTTCCTTTCATTTTCTTTATTTTCTACTTCTTATTTTATGGATCTCTTCTCTACTATATCCGGGTCATACCTCGAAAAATAATATATCCGTTATGCCAAGCGTTTTTAGCCACCTGGCTCGTTAATCTTCCAACCAACAACACGCGATTACACATACAGCACCATAATATATAATCTGCACACAACACTACTTTTCTCTTTCCAGGAAAGTATGTACTGAAATGCTTATATTGTATACATATACATTGTAAGGGGCGTTCTTTTCCCCCTTTTTAGTTTATATAGTGTATATATTCATAAAAGTGTGTGTGTGTGTGTGTGAGTGTGAAAATGTGCGTGTGTTTGAGTTTTCTACTACAAGCCGCAGCTTTCCGTAAAGTCCAATGAAGCCCTATTGTTTTACGAGGGCACGTACATTCTCGTCAGGAAAAAAACATTGTTACTCAAAAAACCGTAACTGGAACACTGGCCACCATTTGTTCATATACACAAAAACGTTAGTCGGGTTAGACGAGGTGCCGACTACTTCGAATATGGAATGAAGAGCGCTACGACGCATAGTTTTACGAGCACCATAAATGAAATCGTATGTACTACCATCATTAAAGTGGATAGAGTGATAGGGAAGAAGTATGTAGGCATCCTAAAAATATATTACGGTACATTGTGTATGTCATTTACTAGTAGTACAAATTTTTGTTTTTTTTTACTGTTATATTGTAGTCAGTAACGTCAATTATTTTTGAAATAGAAATTCTACGTCAATTCATTTGTTACATGATTTTACTCGCATATTATGTGAGCAACCAAACTTTGATCTCATACTAATAACTTGATTTTGTATTTTTTTAAACGTTAATTACAACACCTATAACTATGGTAATTTTATATAGTAATTTTATGGTACGTTCAAAATCTCGTTAAAATAAATTATAATCAAGTGCAATCCAATATTATAATAGAGTACTGAAGCTTATATTATGGTAATGGATATGGCACATAGCCATAACAAGAACATTACTATGAAGTGCCTTCGAATAAATATAGTTATAAATTTATACGATTGGATTTTTTGTTGGAGTGCGCAACTAATTGGAATGACTATAATGTTCAAAGTAAATAGAAAGTGACCCTTCCATCGAGGCCATTGAAATTTGAACTTTATAGACAAATATAATAAAAGTAAATACACGACTTCGTCTTAAAACTATATTAAATATTTGTTCTGATTGTGTTTTCTCATAAAACAATCCACTTATATTGATAATACGGAAAGTTCCCCTCAATGTTAAGAATCCCTTTAAGATAAATCTTTGTTACTATCTTTAAAACATATACTTCAGATAAAAAATAAAAATATACATTTTATCATATTAAATTTTATATCATGAAATATTCAATGCATTTATGTGCAAAAATAAAATACAATTTTGTATACTAAGTAATAACTATAAAAATCAAACGATTTCTGTTTACAATTTCGTCAAGTTATTTATGATATAAAGACGTAAAACATACATCAAGTTAAAGTGTTATAAAAAAGTGTAAATTACTATAGTTAAAACGAAAATTTATAGAATTATTTAATGACTTATACGTAATGTATTCAAAAATTTTTTTTTAATAAATAAGTAGATATGTACACGAATTGTACCATAGTATGGTCGATATCAAAAACATATTATTGTTGTTATTTCATAGTTATGTGTTTCTTCTTTATACATTTTGAATTGATTAAAAAACGTAAACAGTATTTAATTAAAAAAAAACTTAAAGTTAAGTGTATAAAATGATCGAGAAAATCTAATTATGTGTCATAAAATATTGTTGATGTCATAAAACATAATTGGTATCCCGACAGAATTGTATTACTTTTTGTACCATCAAGTTTTCAAATAATAGTTTGATAAACTCATAGTATCTTATAATAAAATAACGAATGTATTCAAACTAATATTTATATCGTCAATAATACCTACAGCGTTGTCTGTTTGATAATTTCACTGTTTACATCGACATAAACTCCTAGTGCCTTCACTAGAATAAATAGCTATTCATGCTGTTCTGTGTACTTAATTATCTAGGAACTTAGTTATTGTATGCTTAAGGAAACTTATATAAGTATGTATTCCAAGTTTGCTTTTCTCAGATTCATTTCCGTTGTTCAGTGAAAACAGTGTGGATTTGAACATAATGATTGTCCGATAAGAGCCCAGGTAATGTAGATGATGACAAAACTGAGATAACAATTCTGTCAGTTAAACCTTGGATCTTACATGTAGTGAATTTGGCAGACCCGAATAGTGGCTTAGTATTCATTGGAAAACATTTACACAGTAAACACAAGTCCTGTGCAAGCATTCAGGAATGTATTATCGCGCTAGTATTTCAATTAAAATAGTTTGATCATGAGAATGATTACTAACATAAGGTTGATTATATTTTTTATTGGTACATTTTAATTATTACTAAGTAAAAGACAATTGATTAATAATAATATTTACCACTCTAACAGTAACCTGTTCTTTACTTTGTCTTGAATCTATATTTATAATGGACCACATAAAATTACAAACGAAATAAACCTGAAATAGTTGTATGGTATCATTTAGTTTCTGAATCATCCTTTATTATAAGATACCAGGTCATATTTTCACTCTTTGTATAAACACATATAATTTATATACTAAATAGTGTCAACACTAAAAGTTTAAATTGTACACTTATTCAATACATTATTTATTTCGTATTCACTAATTTGTTATTTGCGTATACTAAATTTACTGTTTATAAAAACTATATGTTATTTTTCTTAATTTTTTAAATACCAAGTGTAATATTTCAAACAAAAAATTTTATATGAAATTGTAGAGAAATTCGTAGATTTTGTTTATTGAGACACTTATTACTTGATAAAAAATTATGCTAAAGACAATAAAGAAACATAAATTTTATTTAATTATTTAAATAAATACGTCCTTTACTTAAATAAATGGCGTGATGGGACGTAGAGGATCTGCTATAGTGCTGATGTTTAGATGCTGTTTACTGTTAGTTTCCGGATGGGTGACCATACGGGAACTGTAACAGTAATACATACTTTGCCCCCTTACTAGTTCCCTCTGTTATAACGAAGTTACATCAGGTCGAAAGTCGATGTAAAAATGTTGTCAAATCAAATAGGTAGAGCCGACCCCAAATAGTTGGGATATAAGGCTAGGAGATGATGATGATGAAGAAAATACGACTTATACAGGTGACACATTTATCACGACCCACTCAATTTCTCATAAAAAAAAAATAATATTGACAAAAATAAATTGTTTACAATATTGTATCTATTTTCCAAGTAAATGAGTGGGTTATGATAAACAGATCATTATACATAGATAAAAGGAAAAATATATTGGAACTGTTTTTTCGATACTGCCAATATCAAATCAATACTAAATATATTAATTGTTTTTGTGATGATTATTTGCTTTTATCCGTTTTACAGATTTCATTTATATTACTACATGTTACTTCATTTATTTTTTACAGTTGGCAGTTCAGAAGATGTCAAATCGTCAGATTTAAGCAAACTTAATATGGCGAGACGGTCAAAACCAGTGGCAAAAGCTATGTCTCCCAACAGACAGGGTCCCCAGCAGTGTCTTGTAAGTATTTATTAATGTATAAAATAAATGTGTTAATTTACTTATATCATTATTAATTTTGGAACCCTTCTCAACATGATTAAACGTTCGATCTTGATTGAAATAGTTTTATATTATATAAAATACAACTATTATTAAAATATAAATACTTTAGGTAAAAATGTATCACCAAAAGTTTTATTTCGAAATAAGTTTTTGATAAAAATTAATTTAAGCAAGAAAATAAATATGCAGGTGTCCATTAATTGTTTCCAATTCTGTACTTCAAACTTTAAGGTAGTGTTTCTAACTACAATAACGTTAGGAACATTACAGCCCTTATTAGTATTATTATTATCATTATTATTTGCTTGTAAAAAACTACTCGACTAAACACTCGCCATACTATAAGTTATGTATGCAAATACAAGTGTTATTAACAAAAATATTCTTTTTACCTCGCTAAAATGCAGACAAATAAAACATTCAGAATCAACCGCGTAAAAGTTCGCAAATAATGTAAAAAATGGTTAACAATAAAGTTTATTTTGAATTTTCCTAAACTATTGACACTTTTTCGATAGCTGATAATACAAATGAATAAAATACATGTTTATCTTAAACTTTATTATTGCATTATATTCTATTACTTAAGTTCAAATATTATTAAATCTGCATTATATTTAATTTTAAAACCTCCCACGTTTACTAAAGAACCATACTATATGTATGAGTAATAAATTTCAACAAAACACAAATATGTTAAATAAAATTTTGAATACTGTTAAAATTCAATAAACTTATACAGAAAACTACAAAACGAATTTACAAAAAATATATTTTTGAATAAAACTAAATTAATTTTATAAATCCTGAACATATTAATGAATAGTAATAATAGGGAAATGATAAAATGCTTTCAGTTTATTTTTATTTCACGTATAATTGCAGTAAAATAGTCACGCACATATAAAACTGTTATGTGCATATTTTTCTAAACTTTGGTTTTTTTTACTTAATGTGACATGATATGTTTTATATCAACTTACAATTAGATAAAAGAATTTCAAAATATTTTTCTTTTTGAAATTTTTGATTTTAAAATTATAGACACCAAGTAGTAAAATTTAAAAACCTTATAAAGCAATGCTTTGGTTGCGTGTAGCTTAATAGGATAGTAAGTTGGTAGTTTTTCAAGTTAGGATCACTTCGACGTAATTTCGATTATCACTGTCATTGTTTAATCCTTCGTCTAAACTCCCATTACTTTCCGCAACTTTCTTTCATTTGTTTGTATCTATTTTATTACTTTTATTTTCCAGATTTTATCTTAAAAATTTTATTCATGAAAGAACTCAAAAAAAAAAAAAAAAAGTAGCATGTTTTCTCCTCTGTTCAATTTAATGAACCAGTGATTTTAAAAAATCTGTTAAAACTTTAATATACAAGTCAATTATTCTATGTTGAAACATTTTTCTTATTAAATTATTGAACTGTTGAACTATTTTCTTTCGCAGATTTCAACTAGAAAAGTTGTTATAAAACTATCAACAATCGTACTTTGAATTATCTTTCCTTTAAAATTCAACTTAATTTATATTTTCTTAATTTTTAAAAGTTTTCTGTAGTTTAAAATTTTCTTACATAATCGTTTTATGTAACCATACACTCTTTTGTGTTGTATTTCTTTGAAAATCATCATTACTTATATTACCTGCCTACGATTGAAACGTGTTATAGAGTAAATAAGTTTTTTTGTGAAAGAATATTGGATAATCGAATATTGAAGTTTTCGAATTTACTACCTAACGAAGTAATACAGTAATGAACTTTGCGAGGTTTCTAACTTCAACACATGTGCAGAATAATAATAACGGTTAAATTTAATCACCTTCATCGTTTATGGGCATGTGGAACACCTTCAAAACTATATAAACCATAGAAATTTTCATTAAGTATAATAATATTGCTCTCATTATTATTTATTATGTAAATGTATTCTCATTCACTCGGTTTTAAACAACTATAATAATTTCGTATCCATTTTTCATAAATTATTTTTATAATACAATTTAAGTATGGAACTAATACCACTGTAAAGTTCTATAATTATTTTATCGATTTTTAAAAATTCTTTTCATTAATTCCTTGACCGTGTTTGTCACTTGAGATGTCTTAAACTTTTATCAACAATCCCTTGGGTACTTCGCATGAGCTTACGTGTCGTCTTACTGTAGACTGTTAGGTTCAACAAATGTTAGTGGTACGCTTTCGTTGATGTAAGTCGGTTTTGATAGTGCATGCCTACATTCGCAAACTTTTAAGCTATAACTCTGCCTAAAGTCTTTATATATATATATATATAGCATCAGGTTTTTGGAAGTTCAAAACTTACTTTTAGTCTATATTTAAAATAAATTGTCCCGTATTTTAAGCGCTCACGGACTAACTAATACAAATTTTAATTTTAATACTTTCTTATACTTATTCAATGTGCTAGTTGTTAAAAGGATGAATGAATTAAAATAATGTTTTTCATAAGAAAATTTTTTGAATTTATTTCATATGCAAATAAGTGTTATGAACTTGTCGAAGTTTGAACATATATTTGAAACCAATATACTTAATATTATTATTCATAAAAATGTATTATCTTATATGTTATATTTTATTAGTGTTTAAGTATACAGAATGATCGATTAAAGATAGGATACTCATTTCCTCAGAATCTATTAAATATTTTCATTTTTTTTATAGGAAAATATTGTTTGAAATAGCTTTACAATAATGTGCAGTTAAATTGTTTTTTTATCTCTTCAGTAATGTAAAACCTAAACATTAATTTTCCTTATTGAGCACCCCTATTTTTAGTTTAATATGATATGAAATAAAAAAATTGAAATTTTTTGTTCGTATTATTTCTGCAATTGATTGCGTTTTAAAACTATTTTTGTTAATGTGTTTAAGACTTGGATTTAAAATAAAAATGTATTATTAATTTGGTTTTCATCATACCGAAGTCAACAGTAATCTGTTTCAATAAACACCGATTTATCATCAGTATTTATTCTTGCTATCGTAAGTGAAAAATAAGATATGAAGAATTGTCAATAAAAAGTTGTTTACGTGACATCACGAAAATATAAGGACTACTATGTGCTAAATAACAAATTATCAATTTAAAATTGGTTGAATAACGCTAAACTTTAACAAGCAATAATAGAAAAATGATTCATCAGATAAAAATATTATTAAAACAAAATATGTAAAAAACGTTTTTCTATCATATCATTAAACTAAAAATTAAAGTTTCGATTTTTTAACCCTAAAGGGAAGTAGATTAATTTATAATATTACATATTATTGTAATAGTTTTTTTAATTAAACAAATTATACTTTTAGGAATTTAAAAATTTTGAATAGTTTTCAAAAAAATAAATGTCATTCTTTACTTGAACATTTTGTATTATAATAAGGATATTGATATAATTTTTAAATCTTGTGTTCTATATTTAAAATAATTCGAAGCGGTTTTTCAATTTTTTATGATACAAGTCAAAATGAAACGTTTAACCTGTATGTTTAATAAAATACAAATATGCATTTTATTAATTTCTTACTTGATAATGTAAATACTTTATTTGCATCATTAATGGTAATGATATATTTTTGTCTTTGGAATAAATAAATTTACTCCATCAATGTAATATTAGAGTTCTTTTGCGGTCATAAATATATATTTTTGAAATAAATGAGTTATCATTATGATATCTGTCTGATACAAAGCTTTAAGTTACTTGAGATAAAAATATATTTTTTTTAAAATTTATAAAATATAACAGAATACTTGTAGCATTTTTAAATTTGTACACAGTACGCTTTTAAAGAAATCAAGCTTTCAATCAAGAAATTGAGCTGTAATATTATTACCTATCAATATCGATGGATATTTTAGATATAAAAGTGTTTCAAATTGTAAACAAGCTTAGTACTTGATTGACGGTCAACAAAAACACCTGATTTCCGGTTGACCTGTTGATTTTCTGACGTTTATTTATAAAAAATATTATAAACGAATAGCTATATTCATCTAATGTTTGTTATCCTGCGATTGTAAATTATTATTTATATAACAGTAAACTATGTCAAATTTGTTTTCAATAAGTTATTTTTAATTAATTAGCCATCTTTTAATTTATAAATTTGATATAAAATACATTAATTCTTTACTGTAGCAAATATGAAAGCTGTAACTTCCAGTCCATATTGGCATTCAATTGTATTACTTTCAAATTCAAATCTCATTAAAATAGTAATACTATTTTTAATTTATACAACATATTTTTTACTATGTTATAATCATACATACATTAATTATTTTAATGTCATATTGAATTGTTAAAAGGTTATAACTTCTAAACCGTTTTTATGTAAAAATTTTTCCATTCTGAATATTTCAAACGTTGCTACTGTCCTATTAATTTTTTTTTTTTTTGTAAGACGAAAATTATATTGTTAAAAATAAACATAGTACAGCTAGTGACAAGAAAAGATATAATTAATAAAAATTTGACAGTATAAAACTGAACTACATTTCATAAATAATCTTTTTATTTATCCTTTAAATCTTGGCAAAATACTTGATGTTTGTTTCTTCAAGCTAAAGTTATTACTAATTTACAATACATCATATAATAAGTGTTTTTTTGTTCATACTATTATGTTTTTTTAATTTAAACCCGGGATAACCGTCTCTGAATGTTTAATAAACATCGAATTAATCTATTGTAGATGCTTATCAATATGATCATCAAGTTTAAAAATTTAGTTCAATTTTTTAACTTGATGTTTAGGATTACATTTGAATTTTTATGCATAATACACATTTATTATTCATATTTACATAAATAGTTTATCTTTTAATGTTACGTATATTATAAACTGTTCTAATTGGCTCCATTTCAAACCCATTACACATTTCTCTTATGTGGGAATAATGACTAAGTATAATCGAGATTCTA